AAGCAGGCAGCTCCAAAAACCTTCCAGCCCCCACTTACCCCTGGGAGCATGATCACGGGTGTCTGAACCACGCCGCACGGGCGGTGGGTAGGGAGGAAAGCCGGCATGATCTGAAGGGCAGGCGGCACGTCGTTTTCGTAACGTGCAGAGGTAAGACAGGGGGTGAGACGGGGCTGGGGATACGAGGCGATGCAACGGTGAGACAGACCTCGGTGTTGTCCCAGCATCTCCTGGGTGCCTGGGCTGGTACCTACCTGTCCGGTTAGTGGCACGAGTGGGGCTGGGCTCAGAGAGGGCAACAGAGGAGATGTTGGTGGGAGCAGCAGAGCAGCACGTGGAGAAACACGGTGGGCTGAAGCAGGCTAGCACGCTGTGAGCGGGCGAGCCGAGGACGAAGTCATGCGTGTCCTCTGGGACTGCGGGGCAAAGTGGAGCAAGTCAAGGGGAGAGGCACCTAACAGGACCAAGTGCCAAGTGTCCCCAGCATTCCTTCCACAAAACAGAGCCCCCAGGACCTCCCAGCATGAAGACAGCAACAGTGCCAGCAAGCCCCTGGCATGGAGGAGCTGCCACCTTCATCACCCTGCGCCACAACCCAGCATCGTCTGTGCCTGCGACCTACCGTGGTGCGTGGGGGTCCTGCCGCTGGCTCTGTCCGACGCAGCTGTGGACTGCACCACCTGCGTTTTATCAAAGTTCTGGCTTGACCTGAAACGCAGGAAAATATGGTGAAAACCTCCACCGTGGGGGACAACGGTGTCACTTGTACGTGGAGAGAGAACCCTGCGCCACAACCCAGCATCGTCTGTGCCTGCGACCTACCGTGGTGCGTGGGGGTCCTGCCGCTGGCTCTGTCCGACGCAGCTGTGGACTGCACCACCTGCGTTTTATCAAAGTTCTGGCTTGACCTGAAACGCAGGAAAATATGGTGAAAACCTCCACCGTGGGGGACAACGGTGTCACTTGTACGTGGAGAGAGAAGTGGCTCTAGCAGTGAGCAGGGCGATGGGACCCGGTGCGTGGAGCAAGAGGAGACGTGGAGGGTGCAAGGGTGAGGAGGAGCGCAGACTGGAGGGATCTGGGAGAGGGAAGGCAGGAGAAAGGCACGCTGGCCGTGAAGACAGCACGGAAATGCCACCGCAGATTGTGTGGCAGTCCCACATCTGGCAGGGACAAGCCCCAGCTGGCTCAGAGGACACCAGCAACGCTCCCTCGACTCTCCCTGCGGAGCGGGGTGTACTCAGCGGACCCCATTTCCAGCAGTGATCTCCAGGGTGGATTTATGTGCTCGGGTCTCAACATGTTAGGCCATAAGGGGCTCCAAGCGCTCCCCGTTCCCTAAGGGAGGTGCCCCTTCTCCCTCGGAGACGAGACTTTTTTCTCCCGTGTCTGCACGAGGAGCCCAGAGCAAGACCACTTTGGGCACCAGCTGCGGAGACGGGGATAAACCACGGCTCTTGCCATCACGCACTGTAGCTGTCCACCGAGCAGAAATTTTTACTGAGCTCCTAACAACACAGATGTTCAGGATTTTACCTGCCCAGGCATAGGAGCAGTTCAGTTGTATCTGTCCCGCATTTTCCCTGTCCCATCCCCATGTCCCGCCTGTCCCCTTAGCATCGCTCAAGGGTTTCTCAAAGATCAACAGAGCTTTCGCTCGTTTAGAGAAATCAAACCACCACTTTGTCACCTGCAAGACTTATCTTATTACACATATTTCTTTTTCTGGTGAAAGGAGACGCAACACCGGTCACCTAGAGGGAATGTGGGCACAAACCTCTGCAGGTAACCTCCACCCCAGCCAAAAACCCACCCCGTTCCTCATGGTCCTCCACTGCCTCCTCAACACTTTCCAAGCACGGCTTTATCTTGCGTCCCAGGAGCAATCACTTTTTTAACAGCGTCCTGTGAAACCCTCTGATGGGGAGTGCTTAGAAGAACAAATTAATCGTGCCCTGCCCTGCTCTTCAGGCAGCGCTTTGTTCCAAGGGTGCCGGCAGCCCCGCAGGACCCGTTCGCCTTTCGGGGAGGTGGTGTGCACCAGCCCTGCAGACCCCATCACCGGAGGGCTTTACAGCTCTGTCCCTAACGAGTAACTCCGCCAGCACCTTTCCAAATATTCCCAGTGGTGACGGCTCATAAAAAGAAATAATTTAGGTTTGTGGGTTTTTTTCTGTTCTTCTTTTGCACGGTAAGCTGTCCTGTACCGGAGAGTGACCCTCCACAATAAAGCTACTCACGACAAAGAGGGGGTAGGAACAGCTTTTTGGTTAATTCTTCAAAGTCTTCATCCTTTTCACATACTCACTCCACTCCTTTCACCCTGTCTCCTCCTGCTCTACCTGTAGTATGTAATTTCTTTACGTAGCCTTTGATTAATTGGTTCTTTAGCCTCCTAATCCCAATTCCCCCTTCCTGACGAGGTCCATAACCCTTCCTCTCGGAGTCCCACTTGCAGAAGTATATTCATATCCCTTCCTTCGCTTTCAATTTTGCTTAAGATTCTTGGTCCTCTGTGGTGGAGGTGGAAGAAAGAAGAGGAATTGAGAGGAGGGATGCAGCCATTAAATAACAGTATAATGAAACAGTAACATACCGTGGACAGAGAGCGACCGGGACCCCAGGACCCCTGTGCCGAAAGAGGGCCAGGAGACAGGCAGTGGGCACAGCAAAAGAGCTACAGGGCAGTGAAGGGAGACGGGAAGAGAAGGGACGTCGGTAGGAGATGGGGAGGATGGGGGGGAATGAAAGAGGATATGGAAGATGATGGAAATGAAAAGACAAGAATGGGGAAATTAAAGACAAAGTGGAAGGAAAAGGGGTTGGATGAGGGGTGTAACCAGAACAGGAGGGAGAGAAATAGGACAGGGAGAAGAGAGAGAAAGAGAGACTCATTATCTGGAAAGGCGAGCTCCCGAGGGGGTGCAGCGTGCCCACGCCGCCGGACCGGGGCAGCCTGCCGGGCTGGGGCCCTTCCCTCAAGGCTCTCTCCGCACCAAGGACGCCGTTTGCAGAGGAAAACTCTTGCCCAGGACAGGCTGGTCCAGCCCCACTGCCATCGCCGGGACGATGCTGTTCCAGCCCAGCTGAAGAGGCACCCAAAGA